AAAAATATATTACCACAAAAAAAAAGACATCCTGTCAGTTCCTGCTACGCTGAAAAAGGGAGGAAAAAACAGTAGTAAATACTGTAAAAACTTGCTCGCGGAAAAAACTGAGGATCTACCATCTTCCCCCGAATAGAACGCCCGGTCATTATCAAGGTGTGTATCATTCCCAGTTGGGTAGGTACTGGGCAGTATATTGAGAGAGGAATATAAAAAAGAAAAAAGAACGCCAGATCATTATCGCTGCATCTGGACTGACAGGATGTCTTTTTGTGTGTGTGTGTGTGTGGTACATAACATACTTTTGTACACTGAAGATCTACCGTCTTCCCGCCCGGTCATTATCGCTGCATCTGGACTGACATTACAGTCAAAAGCACTAGCTTCACTTGAAACAAAGAAGCAAACAAAAAAAAACAAAGGGAAAAAAAAAAACAAAAAAAAACAAAAAAATCTGCTTGTTAAGAGCTAACCTTACTAAAGAATATCATCAAACAAAAGGCATCTTGTCAGTTTTTTTCTGCTATGGTGAAAGGGGGGAGGGGGGGGCGGAGGCAAAATACGGATTACTGTAACAAAAATGGGAAGCAAGGTACCACATGACTAAATAAGGGCATCGCCACACCACTCACAGAGTGTGAAACAGAAGACACAAAACCTATGGTGGGTGTATCTGTCATGTTTTTGCGAAAGATACATGCTCCATTTCACACATTACAAGAGTGGTGTGGCGAGGCCCTACGCCACGTCTATCAATGAGTCTAAGACTCTAAGAGATTCAGACCTACTGGACTGAGGGGGAAAAAAACAGAGAAGAAAAGGAACAATAATGACCGCCAGATCTTTTTATCTTTGCCTTTGAACTACTACTACTACTACTACTAAAACCCCATTGTGACGCCTCGACAGCCTCTCCGTAGGCAGCAGAGGGGCAACAGGCCCTGAGCTCGGAGCGGGCCAGAAGAAGTAAAGGGTGCCTTTGTTTTTTTTTTGTTTTTTTTTTGTAACAAAGCACCCCCTTCAGTGTTAGTGGTGTTGATAAGAGCAAACACCACTAGTACCACTACCACATGGGGAGCGGCTCCATCCATTGGTGGGGAGCATAAAGGTTGCTTTGATGATGAAAGGCCCCTTTTCTCCCTCCCAACAATTAACAGAACAACAACAATAAAAGTTCCCTGCCCTTGCTGGTAGAATGGTCTCTCTCTACCAGCCCGTCCCGTATGACCACATACTCTATCATCTGCTCTAGCCCAGTCTACACCAATAGTACACTGCTGCAAAGTACTGTACTATTCTATATAGTACTGTACTATTCTATATAGTACTGTACTATTCTATCATCTACTCTGAGCCATGCCTGCCCGAAGACCATGTCGCACTGGATGTAGAGTGTTGTGTAGTGGAGCAAGGCCCTCTGTCTTTTAACCACCAGTTCGCATGAGCCCACGTTGATGCAGCTACCTTCCGTACATTTGGGCCTGTACGGAAAGCGGCAGGCCACTCCGCCTTTTTCAAAGTGGCCTGCCGCTTTCCCCGTACATGCCCAAATCTACATACATGCGCTCTTCCCGCGTAAACCAGGAACAACAGTACTCTGCTTTGGGTGAACTGGCAGCTTAACGGAGTGGGCGATCGCGTCGTCAGCCACACTGCGTAGGTACAGTACTCTGCTTTGGGTGAACTGGCAGCTTAACGGAGTGGGCGGTCGCATTGTCAGCCACACTGCGTATGTAGTCCTGCCCCCTACTTAGCTGTTGCCCCCTCGCACTCACCTGCAACTCTTTCACATACGATCTGCTCCTCTTAACTCCGGGTTCGATCCTCTCCTCGCTATGGCACCAACCTTCTCTTTGTTAAACCTCTCTTCTTCTTCTATGCTCACCAACTCACCTTCACTACTGTTTCTCTTTTTTGAAGTTTTTCTGTTACCCAGGATCACCTCAGATTTGCCAGTTTTTGCCTTCGAACTCCTCCTCAACTCCTCAAGGGGAACTCCTCAAGGGGAACTCCTCAAGGGGAACTCCTCAAGGGGAACTCCTCAAGGGGAACTCCTCAAGGGGAACTCCTCAACGGGAGGGGATCACCACTTGCATCTTGTGTAAACTTTTAAGGATCTCGTGATCAGATCGTGATTGGAAAATTCTGGGTCAACCCCCTTATAGCTGCCATGGGGGCTTGCTGCACTACTCTCGACATGCACCAAAGACAAAAATAATGGCCGAGCATCTTTCCATATTCTAGCGGAAGATTCGCTCTCGTTTTGCACATTTCGAGAGTAGTGCAGCGAGGCCCATGGTCTATGAGGTTGAGGGAGAGGGAGGGAGGTACACACATTTCGACAGGTCGGTTCTACTACCTGTACCTCGTCAGATCGCGTAGAGGGCGCTGCAGAGTGCACCCTCTACCGACCCTTACCAATTTCCCTGCGGTCAGGACTTCTTGATGAGGTCCACTGCTGTCTGCTTTTTTTTTTCTTTTTCTGTGTAGTAATTGCTTTGTCGTCGTTTTCTGCTACTTGTCTGGCTGTCATATCCATGCTCTTCTTCTTCCCCAAGAAAGCTCATGGTGCTTGTGATTTGAGTGTCTCCTGTGAGGTTTCTTTTCACCATTTTCATTCCGCAAGCAACTCCCGTCCTGATTTTGCACCTTTCACTATCTTGTCAATTCACTACCCACCCTCTGATCATAAATGCTCTCTCTCTCTCTCTCTCTCTCTCTCTCTCTCTCTCTCTCTCTCTCTCTCTCTCTCGCGCGCGCGCGCGCGCGCGCGC